TAATAATCGAGTTAAGACCGACAACTGGAACAAAGGGGTAATCTGATGCGCTCAATTAACAAATCGCCGGCAACCCAATTTGCCTGTCGAGTATTTCTGCGTGTCTTCTCGAGCAGACTAATGTTATTTGAGGTGCTGGAGTTGGGTGGAGGGGGGGGGGGTTACTATGTGCACACTAAAAATATGCTCGCGTACTGTGAGTAAACAGAGCACCCCCCCCGGCCAAAATGTGGACTGGTTCCCAGCTACTTCCCTTTGCGATCACACCTTTACATCATGATGCGGCCTGATTGATCACTTACAAATTCGTTGTGCCGAAATCGGCCTCCCAGTGCCGGGAGTCCCGACATAAACCAATCTCAGCCGCCTCATCCGTTTGCACTGACCATTCACATCCACACAGCGGACGGGCTCATTCGGCCACATGCGCATCCACGTTGGTGGAGTTACCCGCAGTATCGACACGCGAAACACACTTTATGCGCATGCATGAAAACCTACAGTAACGCACTTTCAATAAAAGCGCATAATCACGCTTCTACGCACCACCGCTAGCAAGAAATTGACACCACTTACGCTAACGGGAATCGTGCTTTTTGTCTCCTTCTCCATTTGACTTCCACGACATTAGCATAGGTGAAATCCGAACAGTGGAAACCCATTTTTGAGAGCATTTGGTCGGTTGTGCGTGGCCCGGTCGTGTGTGTGGCAGGCGCAGACGGAGGGCTCGTGGTATCATCAGTCACCGAGTCCAATCTCAACATCAGTTGGTTGACCGTGTAGGACTACCACTTGACAGTCAACTCATAATTCCTCACTAATAACAATCCGACGTGTCTGAATATATCACTGTGCGGTAAGAACCGTGGCTTGGAATGTTGCCAACTGCCGATTCAACTCAGACCTCTCAGCCAGACACCGTCATCACCACAGGTGATGCCACTCCACGCCACATTCGATGTCGCCGATCCCCACCTCCTCCATCATCCCTACCTCAACCTCCGCGACGAAGACTACTGCCACCACACCAACCGCCATCACCTGCGAGAACATTCCTGACGCCCCGTCAGCCACTGCCCTCGCCATCATCGCCTCCGTCATCAACAGCGTATACTCGACTCCAACCCATCACCGTTGCTATCGAGCCTGCCCGGGACCGGCGTACCAGTGCCAGGAGTTCCGGCATATGCCCATCGGACCACATGCATTAGCGCGCCGTATAGGCTTCTTCGGCCACGAGAGTGGAATTCTCCGCAGTATCGACAAGTGAAGCACATGCTACACATCTGACATATCTCCAGTCTCCAACAACGTGGTGGACAGTAGCAGCATGACAACCGCTCAGCAGTTGCAAACACATTTCCCTCGCAATTTCACAACATGCGCTGACCTGATCAGTCACTTGCGAATCCAGCACACAGACGCTGGCGAACCAAAGGCTGCAGCAACAACATACACCAACTCCACCCGTCCTAACTGCTTACACTGCCCACGCAAATCCGTTCACCAATTGGACGTATTCGGTCACACGAGCAAACATGAAAACCTGCGGTGAAACAGCGCCAGTCAAGCCAAATAACCACGCCTCACCTCACCAGCACACACACACACAGCACAGACGAACCCGTTGGTTGTCACTCACCGATAGTTCAACCGTCGCAGCCGACAATATCTACCGTGTGACCCATAGCGAGTTGAAGCAAGCAGGGTGAATTGCATGGGAATCGGTTTATAATGAGAGAAGACTTACAGGGCATCTTCCACACGAACTCCTTTTCCCCCCTAAGTCCGTTCTCAAGACATAGTCAAAAAGTCCGTAGGCGGGAGAAGGCGTAGGTGGACGGAACGGCTGGACCCTCACCTGGACGTACTCCAGCACGCCCTGGTCCCGGTGTCAAGACAGAGTCAAGAAGACCGGAGACGAGGGAGGCCGCAGGTGGATGGCTCGGACGGATCCTCACCTTGGCGTTCCACCACACCCCATGGTCCACACAACAATAACCAGGATTTCAACCAGACAACAGAGATTTGGAGGCTGGCACGGCCGAAGCCGCACCTGGGCGTCCCGCCAACGCCTGGCTCGGATCCCACACTGTGGTGGGAATGCCAAGACATAGACAACAAGACCGAAGGCGGGAGAATGCGCAGGTGGATGGGACGGCTGGACCCGCGCCTAGGCGTAATCCTGACGTAAATGATAATGTCCTCACGAATTAACGAGTTATATCTCACAAGCCCCTAGCCTTAAAGGCAGCCAGTAAATCTGCGCAGTAAATATTATAGAGATTTTGAACGTTACGTAACCTGGCAACTGAGCGCGGCAGCAAATGTGTCCAGCATGGCGGGTGTGTTCTTTTATCGTCACATTCAAACAAGCGATCCGGGTAAAGAAAACGAGACTTAATCGTCAAAGGAAAATCAGTCCGGTACCTCACTACAATCCCACATCCCCTGGTCCACCATAAACACATGGCCAGAATTTTAACCAATAACAATATCAAAACGAGTCGGAAAGGCGAGGAAGACTGGGCAGTCATGCACACGATCTGTATAACCACAGGGAGCGTAAGTGCATCTACCGGCAGGAAATCAGGAGTCAGAGAACTGCCATCGTCCACCAGGCTGCGAGGGCGGTGGTTTGCTGATCCTGGCATAGCAGACGCCTACGTTCCCTGGGCATCACCCAATAAAAGCACAGGAAGGGCACGCTGCGCGCAAGAGGGAATCACGCCCTCGTTCCCCTTTCCATGTCGCCTCCATTTTATTAAAGCACGACAGGAAACCGAGCAGTGAACACTCCTCATGCGGAATTCTGGCAGACTGTGGGGGTCCAGGTCGCGAGTGTAACAGGCGCCGACGGACCATTCTTGACCTTCTTGGCCAGTAATTCTAATCTCAGTTTGCTGACCATCTGAGACTATCGCCTGGCATAGGATAGAGGGAAGGGAGAGTGATGTCGACACTCAGTGCATAAGTCACTGTGAGATATGAATCGTGGCTTGGAAGGACGCCATCGGACGGGATTATCTGCGGTGATACGCCGCCAGCAGTCAAACCCCACCACCAGAACTGCCCATTCACACCACACTTGCACTCAGTTGAGACGCGAGCCGTCTTGTTGTGCAAAATCCTCATCCTTTGTGTCTGGACCAGAATGTGTGTTGGCACCCTTAGGCGCGGGTCCACGCCCTGTCGACCACGGGAGAAGGCGTAGGTGGATGTAACGGCCAGACCCTTACCTACGCGCTATCCCACACGCCCTGGTACATAACAAACTCTTGACCAGAATTTTAACAAAGAACAGTATGAAAAAGGCAAGGAAGACGGGGCAACCATGAGCATGACCTGTACACCCAGCGAGAGTGCAAGCGCATCTACCGGCAGGGAAAAAGGCGTCAGAGAACTGCCAGCGTATGCCAGGGGGCGAGTGTTGTGGTTTGTTAGTTCCGGCGTAGCAGACGTTTAAATTCCTTGAGCATCACCCAACAAAAGCACGCGAACAGCACCCCACAAGCAAGCGGGAATCGTGTTCCTTGTCTGCTCCTCCATGCCGCCTCCATAATCTTAACGTACGAGATGGACGAACCGTGAAACCCATTCATGCGAAATTCTGGTAGAATGTGCGGGGCTCGGGTCGTGTGCGTGGCACGCCCAGACGGACCGCTCTTGATACTGTCGGCCAATAAGCCCAATCTCAACAACTGTCCGGGACTATCGTCTGGCACACAGGAGAGGGAAGGGAGAGTGTTGTCGACAATCAGTGCATAATTCACGGTGCGATAAAAGTCGTGACTGTGAAGGCTGTCATTGAACGGGATAACCGGCTTATTCTTACAGGACTGAGATTCAGGCTACAATGACTCCGTCTTAATGTGGCCTTTGTGGCACTTCCACTCAGTTGAGATCCGAGCTGCCTCTCCTTTCCCTGATGTCTGGAATCCTAGTCCTTTGTATGTGTGGACCAGCATGTGTGGTGGCACCCTTAGACGCGAGTCCACGCCATGTCGACCACGGTCTCCTTGTCTAGGCCTTATTACGGAGCGGAGGTGACGAGGGTGGATAGAGTGCGATAGATGCTGCGCAAGGCTAATTCCATGTAAACTAGTTCACGCACATGTCATCGTTCCTGCGCCCACCCTGTTGATGGGCACATGTTGTCCATCGTCGAAAACGACGGATGAACACTCCTCATGTCGCCTGAGGTATGATGACGTTGGCGTGCGGGTAGTCTGACCGATTCCGTATTCTCACGTAAGAAATAGCTTTTCAAGTGTTAGTTTTATTACTTTAGCCAATATTGAAGAAAATGTATCCAGAACGGAAGACGTGGGAGAGTTTCGAGGTAGAGAAGATTACGGATTTGGGATGGCGGATCATGAGTCTCTAGGGGGAGGAATGTTTTAATACGGGGTAGATGGTAATTTAATAGTAATTATATCGGGGGCATAACCTGGAGTCTAGCCTTCCCTCTTTCACAAAAATTCAGGATTAACTCACTTTCAGGCTTTACGGTGCGAATTTGAGTGTGAGTTAATCGAATAAGAAGGGCGGTAGTTATCAAGAACGGTAAAATCACCAACATTCATGTTTCGGACGTGCCTTCTCGAGAAAGCATCAGTACATTTACGAAGACCTGCGGTGAATGCAGACGTTATCAGCATTAAATGGTGAGTGGTACCATAGGAAATGCAACTGATGCATACTGCTCCCAGTGTGCATCTACAACTTCATCCTGTTGCTGTCATTCATCGATCATGGATCCGAAATCTCGGACATATATTTTTCAGCCATAGGTCGTTTTATTTTTGACTCGCAGTTAGTCTAATTGCCTCGAGGTTGACACAAAGGATGTATTGGTCTGCATGCGTATGGATACCACTACAGCAATATCCTCAAATGTTCCCACCGAGCACTTGCACTTCCAGAGTGCCGTAATCCTATGAGTGTAATGGTACAGTAGGCCTCTCGGCGTTTGCCACCATTTAATTTTGTAGAATTCTCATGATATACATTTGCAAAACCGGAGGTTAGAGGGCAAGAAGGGGGATTAGACGACATGCACGATAAAGGAATTACTTCTGCATCTAAGACATTCACATATGAAGACCTTGAACAGCTTCCCACGTTTAACTCATTCACCGATGTGTTCTGACGGTCGTAATATATAACTATTTGACATTCCACTAAATAGGAGTACGCATTAACAAAAAAGATGATCCTTTCAGGGTGGGAATGCGAAATCTGGAGGTGATAGCATCTTTGCATCATCCACTTGCGCCAGACTGTCACATCCGCCGGCGACAAGGACTCTTCATGTTCGTTTGGTCCGCATGGCGGCAGCTGATATCGTGGATGAGCTAGGGACCACAGGACTGGAGTAGGAAATGCACGCAAGGACAGTAGATGTGGAGTAAGCTGTGCCGAAGGTGAATCAAGAACATCAACAGAAGTGGAGGAGGACAACAGTCAAAAGGAAGTCTCCATACTGAAGATTGGCAGGAAGGGTGCAAGAATTGTAAATACCAGATGCTCGAGATGAAACTAAGCTACAAATCTATTGCAAATAAACGTCCGGAACTGAGACAAAATTAACACAATCCGGATTTTTGTAGGCAGGGGAGAAAAAGTTACAAACTGGAAGGATTGTTCGGTGGGACGTGCTGGGTAAACTAAAATATTTCGATGTAAATTGACGAACAAAATGCCACATGACCGAAAACATGCAAAAGACGTAGTAAAAAAATATTCAAAATTTAATCAATTACAGAATTTGGGACTGCACTCACAAATGTGTAATCCAGGGATAAGGACTGCCGAATGTTCTCGTTACGCGCGAGTGAAATTTTTATATCTGAAGCTAGTCGGAAAGATTAACGAAAACTGTGAGATGAGGGGATAGAAGGATGAGGGTAGATGGACGAGGATGAGGAAAGAAAGCGATCCCAAGTGATGTTATTGGACGCTGAAGCTGCAAACATTACATTAAGTCACGTGAGATTACCATGTAAAAGAAGGTTAAATGAGTATGAACTGCAGTCATAGGAGTGGATGAAAACCCGAACAGAACGGAAAAATACTTTTCGCTGCAGCAATCCTGACGACTGCATCCGCGCGAGGGGCGCCTGCTTGTGTTAGCACTGTTCCCTCATGAGTAACTGGACATCGACATTCTTTGGGATAACCAAATTCGTGGTCTCCGCACCAACCTGCAGGATTCCCGTTCTCCTTCCTGACATGGAATAAAAATATATAGTAGGAGTGAGATTTAAG